TTTCTCACCTTCTTTACCACAGGCTTGGCACTAGGAGCTTTCTTTGGAGCCATGTAGCTTATTATTAGTTTCTTAAAAATTATATTTTATTATCACCGGGCCGTACCTTCCCACCAAGCAGGGTGCCCAAAAAGAAAAACTTTCACCCATCATTCACTCCATCACTGTCTTGCCAGAAAGGTTGTTCATACAGTTTTTAAACTGCAACATTAAAACCACCTCCTTCAGAGTGCAGGCCTGTACTTCCCATCTCCAGGACTCAAGTCCGGCTGCCGGTTTCCCTGAATCCTTCATAAATGTTACTTTGCTCACATCTCCAACGAGTTTTAGTACTTGCAGCACTAAAATAAATGGGAAACAGTGGACCCCCGGTTAACGATATTTTACTCAGGAAGTATGTTCAGGTGCTATACTGACCGAATTTGGTTCCATAAGAAAAATTGTGAAGTAGATTAGTCCATTTCAGACCCCAAAAATACAGTACGAAACGCACTTACATAAATACACTTACATAATTGGTCGCTTCGGTATGGTTAATGTTATGCGGGGGTCCTGTATTATGAAATATTTCGCTGGAGCACGTGAGGGGACCTTCTCTCACTGGTAAACAATGCCAGACTGGCTGCCGCCCTGGCTCACGCCGTGGGTACACGTCCCGGACGAACTACGACTTGTGAGTCAACCTATGAAAAGCGAGTCCATGTTTATACGAAAATACCCCCATGATTGGCGAAATTTACGATTGCCGGGAACTACGAAAAGCAGGGGACCACTGTATATGGAATAGGTGATAAGTTACTAAATGCTGCAAAGAGTTTTTATGAGGATAGTGAGGCTCAGGTTAGGGTGTGTAGAAGAGAGGGAGACTACTTCCCGGTAAAAGTAGGTCTTAGACAGGGATGTGTAATGTCACCATGGTTGTTTAAAATTATTTATAGATGGGGTTGTAAAAGAAGTAAATGTAGGGTTTTGGGAGGGGTGGGATTAAAAATTTGGGGAATCAAATAAAAATGGGATTGGACACAGTTACTTTTGTGATGATACTGTTTTTATGGGATTTAAGAAAACGTGCATAGGTTAGTAGAGAGTTTGGAAGTGTGTGAAAGGTAGATAAAGTTGAAAGTGAACAAGAAAAGAGTAGGTGATGAGGGTATCAATGATTAGATAAGGAAAAAATTGGATATCAAATTGGGGAGGGGAGTATGGAAGAAGTGAATGTTTTCAGGTAATTGGGAGTTGATGTGTCAGCGGATGGATTTATGAAGGATGAGGTTAACATAGAATGATTGAAGGAAAAAGGCGAGTGGTGCGTCGAGGTATATGTGGAGCAAAAAACATTATCTATGGAGGCAAAGAAGGGAATGTATGAAAGTATAATAGTACCAATACTCTTATATGGGTGTGAAGCGTGGGTTGTAAATGCTGCAGCGAGGAGGCAGTTGGAGGCAGTGGAGATGTCCTGTCTAAGGGCAATGTGTGGTGTAAATGTTCTGCAGAAAATTTGGAGTGTGGAAATTAGGAGAAGGTGTGGAGTTAATAAAAGTATTAGTCAGAGGGCTGAAGAGGGGTTGTTGAGGTGGTTTGGTCATTTAGAGAGAATGGATCAAAGTAGAATGACATGGAGAGCATATAAATCTATAGGGGAAGGAAGGCAGGGTAGGGGTCATCCTTGAAAAGGTTGGAGGGAGGGGGTAACTGAGGTTTTGCGGGTGAGGGGACTGGACTTCCAGCAAGCATGCGTGAGCATGTTAGATAGGAGTGAATGGAGATGAATGGTATTTGGGACCTGACGAGCTGTTGGAGTTTGAGCAGGGTAATATTTAGTGAAGGGATTCAGGGAAACCGGTTATTTTTATATAGCCGGACTTAAGTCCTGGAAATGGGAAGTACAATGCCTGCACTTTAACCCTTTGACTGTTTATGCCGTATAAATACGTCTTACGCGTCACTGTTTCTGACGTATTTATACGCATAAATTCTAGGGGCTTCAAATCAAGCAGGAGAAAACTTTTAGGCCCACATGTGAGAGAACGGGTCTCCATGGTCAGTGTGCACCATATAAAAAAAATCGGGGAGCCAGTGGTGCACTGTGGGAATGTCATTTCAGTCCTTTTTCAGCATGCTTAGCGGTAAGAAATATGTGACTCCCCAGCAAATCTGGGACTCTTCTCTTCCCAAGTGATGCTCTAACACAGATGGAAGTGTTAGTGAAGATCAATTTCATGATTTCTAGGAGTTTGAGACCAAAAGCAATGGAGGAGGAGGAAGAGGAAGAAGAAGAGGAGGAAGAAGAAGAGGAGGAGGAAGAGGAGGAGGAAGAGGAGGAGGAAGAGGAGGAGGAGGAGGAGGAGGAGGAGGAGGAAGAGGAGGAGGAGGAAGAGGAGGAGGAGGAGGAAGAAGAGGAGGAGGAAGAAGAGGAGGAGGAAGAGGAAGAGGAGAGGAAGAGGAGAGGAGGAGAGGAAGAGGAAGAGGAGGAGGAAGAGGAAGAGGAGAGGAGGAGGAGGAAGGAAGGAGGAAGGAAGAAGAGGAAGAAGAGGAAGAGAAGAAGAAGAAGAAGAAAAAAGAAGAAGAAGAAGAAGAAGAAGAAGAAGAGAAGAAGAAGAAGAAGAAGAAGAAGAAGAAGATGTAATAATGTTGTTCCCTTGAAGCAAGAAAAAAAAAAAAGAGTCCACCCCATGACAATGACAAGATAAGGGGAGATAACATCTGATAAGAGCTGACGTTTGATGAGCGTAAACGAGGGTGGGGAAGGGTGCAGCTAATAAGAAAAGATTAGATGACCATCGCCCTCACTTTGTTTTTGCTGGTACACAAACATTTCTGTTTGTCTATTTGTCTGTCTGCCAAGCTCCCTGTCTATCCATCTAGCTCTCTGTCTCAGAGAAAGCCACAAGACTGTGTCATCATCACCTTTACTCACATCTTCAAGCAGAGTATAGCACTTTGCCTGGATTTTTTGGGTTATCCTAGGTAATTTACACTATGTATACTTGTATTTATGTGTACCTGTGAGACAGAGATAGACAGACAGATAGAAAGAGAGAGACAGATTGAACGAGATAGAATGAGGGAGAAAGATAATTAAATAGAATGGAAGGGAAGCAGCATCCAACCCCATTGTTTTGACAGGCGGTAGAGGGAGTGAGTAATGAGACAATATGTCATTTTGACAGCTGCCGACTCCTGACTCAAAACAATTATAAGCCACACACTCGCACACAAGACAAGCTTGCTGAATGAAGATAATAGCAGTTATATGAAAGTATCTAGTGACTATATATGTGTATATATATTATAGAAACAAGAAGGAAGAATGGAAGGCAGGAATGAAGGAAGGATGAGATGAAAGGAAGGAAAAAAGTAAGGAAAGACGAAGGAATGTAGGAAGGTAGGAAACGAATGCAAGAAGGAAGGAATGATGACACACGACCATTTACCTAGGATAACTACATAACACAACTGCCTGCTAATACTTTGAAGAAAACTGCTCAGAGGAGGTGTTTTGTCTTTGCACATAAAAAAAAGTCCACAAAAATGCACACACACTGGTTTTATGTGTGAGGAGTGTAAAACACCATTGTGTATGAAAACATGTTTCAAAGAGTTCCACAAGCTGCAGAACTTCTAGGAATATGTTCGGTGACTGTACATTGGTATATATATTATAGAACAATAGTAATAAACAATTTTTTGTATTGTTTTTGTAAACAAGTTTTGTAAACAATATATTGATAATTATGTTTGTGTGCTTATTGTGTTGTATACAACGAGTGTATATATGTACATTGCACCTTACTTTGGTCTCACAGGCCACATAAGTTACATAAAAAAATAAAATAGTGAAAAAAACAACAAACCTTCAAATACAAGTAAACCAAAGTTTACCGGGTAAGCAGCAGTCACCGCTGTTACCATACACGGCTCATTTTCTGCAAACTTCACGCCTCTATATCTTGGTAAGTACTGATGGCAAAAATTTTTTTGGGTACTAAAGCACTCAGAAAAATAATCTTAACATTTTCATAATAATTTTTTTTTTTCGAATATTTTGCGACATAGAATGACAGTTTCAGAAAGGGGCCAGCAACAGTCAAAGGGTTAAAGGAGGGGTTTGGGATATTGGCAGTTTGGAGGGATATGTTGTGTATCTTTATACATACATGTATATGCTTCTAAACTGTTGTATTCGGAGCAGCTCTGCAAAAACAGTGATTGTGTGTGAGTGAGGTGAAAGTGTTGAATGATGATGAAAGTATTTTCTTTTTGGGGATTTTCTTTCTTTTTGGGTCACCCTGCCTCGGTGGGAGACAGCCGATTTAAAAAAAAATGGTAACAGTAACACAGAAAACTTTTTCTTAGAAGATAAACACTAAAACTGAATTAGAAAAAGTAATAACTGCCTTAGGGATGTCAACATGCTTCTTCCAAGACAGCAATGGAATGAATAATGGTAAATGTATTTTTTTTATTCGGTCACTACCTTAGTGGGACATGGCTGATGTGTGTTAAAAAATATACTCTATACAGTATACATTGGTACCTCGAATATCGAACAGCTCCCAACTCAAACAATTATGTAAGTGTATTTTTGTAAGTGCTTTTGTAAGCAGGGGTCTCAAACGTATTAATCTAGATTTACATTATTCCTTATGGGAACAAATTCGTTCGGTAATGGCACTTGAACAGTCTTCTGGAACAAATTTCGGTCGATATTCAAGGTACCGTTCTATTAGTTAATAAAATAAATTTTCTTAATATAGTATGGCTCAATTCTAATGAGTCAAAAGCTCTAAATTCGTTTGCCACTCATTTTGTTTTTAATTTCCATTTTTTTTATAGATGAATAGGGTTAAACGTATATGGTACTGCATTACTGTAGTGAGTCAAGGAAACAAAATTTGAAAAAAACCTATCTACACTGATGAGTTATTGAATGTAAAATATGGAAAGAGATATTTAAAATGATATTATAAAAAAGCACGATCTTCCATTATACTTACATGCACGACTTCTGAGATCCCATATTTTTAGAGTACGGTCATGGGACCCTGTTACCACTTTAGCAGACTCTGACAAAAATTTTGCTGCCATTACTTTACCCGAGTGCCCTGTTAATGTATGCTGTTGAGAAATAACACACATAAAATGCAACCACAAATAGGTGAATATGCAGAAAATATAAGTTTTTTACCATTAACACAGCATAAGTTTCACTTTCATTAAAATCATTTTTTGTTTTTTTTGCAACACCATTCTGGATAAGCAGAAAATGGGACTACTGAGAACAGAAATTTCTTTTACAAATTATGAATAATGCTATGTAATTCCAAACTTTAGTGCCCTGTACAGTATATGAAACTAAAGTACAATGAAATTGAACATAATCCATAATTATAAATGTAAAACCAATGACAATGCTGTATGTCAGAAAAGGATGAACTGCAGTAATAAAATTTATTCAGATGCCTTTTTTAAATATACATAAAAATACATGTATAGTCTACTATATTACATACAGCATACAGTGGACCCTCGCCTAACGATATTAACCCATAAACCGTCCAAGCAGATCTACGTTCACAAGCGTAGTGCTCCAAAAGTAGATCTACGTTTTTTTTTACATATTTTCAAAAATAAAAAAACGTAGATCGAAGTTTTTTACAAGTTTTCAAATTAAAAAAAAAAAGATCTACTTTTTTTACATACTTTCAAATGTTGAAAAAACGTATATATACGTTTGGGCCGTTTACGGGTTAATCCGTTCCTGAGAGCTCATCGTTAGCTGAAATTATCATTAGCCAAATTAATTTTCCCCATAAGAAATACCGTGGTTGTTTAATATATTTATAGATGGGGTTGTAAGAGAAGTAAATGCGAGGGTCTTGGCAAGAGGCGTGGAGTTAAAACATAAAGAATCACACATAAAGTGGGAGTTGTCACAGTTGCTCTTTGCTGATGACACTGTGCTCTTGGGAGATTCTGAAGAGAAGTTGCAGAGATTGGTGGATGAATTTGGTAGGGTATGCAAAAGAAGAAAATTAAAAGTGAATACAGGAAAGAGTAAGGTTATGAGGATAACAAAAAGATTAGGTGATGAAAGATTGGATATCAGATTGGAGGGAGAGAGTATGGAGGAGGTGAATGTATTCAGATACTTGGGAGTGGACGTGTCAGCGGATGGGTCTATGAAAGATGAGGTGAATCATAGAATTGATGAGGGGAAAAGGGTGAGTGGCGCACTTAGGAGTCTGTGGAGACAAAGAACTTTGTCCTTGGAGGCAAAGAGGGGAATGTATGAGAGTATAGTTTTATCAACGCTCTTATATGGGTGTGAAGCATGGGTGATGAATGTTGCAGCGAGGAGAAGGCTGGAGGCAGTGGAGATGTCATGTCTGAGAGCAATGTGTGGTGTGAATATAATGCAGAGAATTCGTAGTCTGGAAGTTAGGAGGAGGTGCGGGATTACCAAAACTGTTGTCCAGAGGGCTGAGGAAGGGTTGTTGAGGTGGTTCGGACATGTGGAGAGAATGGAGCGAGACAGAGTGACTTCAAGAGTGTATCAGTCTGTAGTGGAAGGAAGGCGGGGTAAGGGTCGGCCTAGGAATGGTTGGAGGGAGGGGGTAAAGGAGGTTTTGTGTGCGAGGGGCTTGGACTTCCAGCAGGCATGCGTGAGCGTGTTTGATAGGAGTGAATGGAGACAAATGGTTTTTAATACTTGACGTGCTGTTGGAGTGTGAGCAAAGTAACATTTATGAAGGGGTTCAGGGAAACCAGCAGGCTGGACTTGAGTCCTGGAGATGGGAAGTACAGTGCCTGCACTCTGAAGGAGGGGTGTTAATGTTGCAGTTTAAAAACTGTAGTGTAAAGCACCCTTCTGGCAAGACAGTGATGGAGTGAATGATGGTGAAAGTTTTTCTTTTTCGGGCCACCCTGCCTTGGTGGGAATCGGCCAGTGTGATAATAAAAAAAAATAATAAAAGAAATACAGTGGATCCCTGAGTTTCGTGATTAATCTGTTCCAGAGAGCCTGCTGAAAGTCGAAATTGCCGAATGGCGAAACCATTTTCCCCATAAAATAATAGAAATAAAATTAATCCGTTCCAGACACCCAAAAATATTAAAATAATTTTTTTTGTTTCAAATTAAATAAAGATTTACATACTGAAAACAATGAGAAATAAAGTATACATGCATATAAAAAATAATAATATTACACTTACCTTTACTGAAGACTTCTGGGTGAATGGAAGACGGGAGGAGGGGATAGGAGGAAGGTGTACACTACTGTTTAGAAGGAGAATCACCTTCCATTAGGACTTCAGGTATGAAGTCCTTATCTGGGGTTACTTCCCTTCTTCGTTTTTTAAAGACACTGGCATTGGGAACAATTTGAGAGCCACTGGAACCCTGTCGCACTAAATATCTGTCCAAAGTGCTCTGTTTCTGGCGTTTCTTTAAAATTTGTCTGAAGTGGGACACAACACTGTCATTGTACATGTTGCCAATACGGTCTGCAACAGCTTTGTTAGGGTGAAGTTCATCCATAAATGTTTGCAATTCAGTCCACTTTGCGCAAATGTCCTTAATCTGTTTTTCGGAATCCACATCAACAATAACCTCTCCACTTCTTCGAGGATTTGTGATGTCCTTTTTGTCAGTATATCTACCCCTTTTGCAACAACAGCACACTTTATTTCCTTTCCTTTTGCCACGATCGAAGTGATGGTTGAATGGGGTTTGCCATACATCCTGGCAAGCTCTGTAACACGCACTCCACTCTCATATTTTTCAATGATTTCCTTCTTGAATTCAATCGTGTTCCTCACTCTCTTTACCAAAGGGCTTGCACTAGCTTTCCTTGGGCCCATGGTGACTTACTTAGCAGTTGCAATCACAAAAAACAATGGATTATTACGTATGAACCTGTGCGGTAAACAATGGCACACTGAATGTGAATGGCGTGGGAGACTGGCTTTGTGTGCGCGGTGACAGGCGGACGGTTGCTGAATCACGAGTCTAATCACGAACCGCGAGGCCAAATTTTGCCGAAAAGACTTGCCGAAAGTCAATGCCGCCGAAACTCGAGGGTCCACTGTAATGGAAATCCAATTAATCCGTTCCAGACAGCCAAAAGTATTAAAAAAGAAATTTTTTTTCATGAAATATACATTTCCCTACCAAGAAAACAATGAGACATGCACAATAACTACATAAATAAATGTGATACATGAATAAAGGCTTCACTTTACAATCCCCACTAGCATTACAACAAAACATGAGAGTTAGCCTGTCTTTCACAGGCTTGTGTCCTGGGAGTGCCTTTTCCTCCTTAGTAATGTAGGTCCTGTTTGGCATTTTCTTCCAGAACAGGCCTGTTTCGTCACAATTGAACACTTGTTGGGGTTGGAATTTTTCAGCTTCACCATGCCTTATCGCACTGTGTATGCCACTACAATTCTTAAATCTCTCAAACCAACCTTTGCTGGCCTTAAATTCACCAATATGAGCACTAGTTCCAAGCATTTTTTCCTGTTCACCTGGACGTTAGTCGACTGTTGTGGGTCGCATCCTGGGGGACAAGATTAACCCGTAAACTGTCCAAACGTATATATATGTTTTTTCAACATTTGAAAGTATGTAAAAAAAGTAGATCATCTTTTTGTTTTTTTACATTTGAAAATGTGTAAAAAACTTTGATCTACTTTTTTTTGTTATATTTGAAAATATGTAAAAAAACGTAGATCTACTTTTGTAGCACTACACATGTGAATGTAATCTGCTTGGACTGTTTACGGGTTAAGGACCCCAATGGAAATAAGTTAGACAGTCCTCGATGATGCATTGGCTTTCTTGGGTTATCCTGGGTGGCTAACCATCTGGGGTTAATTGTTTCTCGGTAATTGTTTCCCATTAAGTCACACCAACAACACACTCTCCACATCTTTGAGTAGTACAGCTGATGGTGGTGCAGCAACGGCTGATGGTGGTGCAGCAGCAGCTGACTGTTGTGCAGCAACAGCTGACCATGGTACAGCAACAGCTGACCGTGGTTCAGCAACAGCTGACTTTGGTGCAGCAGCAGCTGACCGTGGTTCAGCAGCAGCTGACCATGGTTCAGCAACAGCTGACTTTGGTGCAGCAGCAGCTGACCGTGGTGCAGCAGCAGCTGACCATGGTTCAGCAACAGCTGACTTTGGTGCAGCAGCAGCTGACCGTGGTTCAGCAGCAGCTGACCGTGGTGCAGCAGCAGCTGACCATGGTGCAGCAACAGCTGACGGTGGTGCAGCAGCAGCTGACTGTGGTGCAGCAATAGCTGACCGTGGTGCAGCAATAGCTGACCGTGGTGCAGCAACAGCTGACCGTGGTGCAGCAACAGCTGACTGGTCCAGCAACAGCTGATGGTGGTGCAGCAGCAGCTGACCGTGGTACGATAGTATTTCTCACCCTTTTTACCACAGGGTTGGCACTAGAAGCTTTCTTTGGGCCCATGGTGGCTTATTTAGCCACCATGGGTTGCAAGCACTAAAAACAATGGTATATAATACAAAATGTATCGAATGTATGCATCCAACCAGCCACCCTGGCTTGTAAACAATGACGGCAGGGCAGCTGAGGCACTCAGGCTGGATGGACAGGTTCAGGATGAGTCATGTTCGTCAGAAACAGCTGACGGTGAGCAGGGTAATATTTAGTGAAGGGATTCAGAGAAACCGGTGATTTTAATATATGGCAAGACTTGAGTACTGGAAATGGGAAGTACAATGCCTGCACTTTGAAGGAGGGGTTTGGAATATTGGCAGTTTGGAGGGACATGTGATATATCTTTATAGATGCTTCTAAACTGTTGTATCTGGGTGCCTTTGCAAAGGCAGTGATTATGTATGAGGTGAAAGTGTTGAATGATGATAAACATATTTTCTTTTTGGGGATTTTCTTTCTTTTTGGGTCACCCTGCCTTGGTGGGAGACAGCACTCAGATACAACAGCTTAGACGTCCCTCCAAACTGCCAATATCCCAAACCTCTCCTTTAAAGTGCAGGCATTGTACTTCGCAGTTCCAGGATTCAAGTCTGGCTAACCGGTTTCCCTGAATCCCTTCACAAAATATTACCCTGCTCACA